AGCAAATGAATTCCTCATTCGACATCTGGCATACTTTCTGCTTTCTGTCAAATCTCCAAGTCGTTCCTCACCAGAAAGTAAGTTTTGCCCTCAATCTGAAAAGTAGAATTGGAATCGAGTCATCTGATTTGAGAAGCAATGAAAGACTATGGAAAAGTACCAAGTAGTTTGATTCATCAGAATACAAAACAGAACATATTTACTGGAAAAAATAAAAGAACCTAATTTTAATGTGACAAAATAAACAAATCTATTAAAATATATATTATATATGCGCAAAAAATACGGGTTCGGACGTTAGAAAATTTTAATCGTTGCAAAACCAGATTTCGCGCCATACTGCACCATTCCCATGCAGCTTCAACCTAAAGTTGAAGAACAAGCTTATTTGAGGACCATGGTTTATAAATCTCCTTATCATCTGAGTCACAAGAGGTGATATCGTATCAACGACTTCACCAGGTCTTTGTACAACTGCAGCAGATGTAAAAACGAAGATATATCGAGAAAGCCAACTTCAATCTGTTGTTCTAATCAGAAAACAGATACTCCGATTTCCAAAAGCACTGTTCCGCTGTCGTTACTCATTTCCTGTTGAACCACTTCGGCTCCTCGAAAGCTAAGGCGTCTGATTCACGACTGAGAGGTACTTAGTTAGAGCCCCGGTCAGAGTCAGTCGCCTTTTGTACCTTCCGAGGTTCACAGATGAGCATCATTTTAATAAAGGAGTGGGAAGAAAGTGCGAGAATACAAACTATGCTTGTCATAGCTGTTGTCGATTCTGCCCTTATCGGAAATGTGAATGAGCGTCGCCGCCATTAACCTCATAACAGTAATGGTGCTAGAACTGACTCCTTCCATGTAAGTGGAAGAAACAGCAACATTCCATCGGTTACAAACTTTCCTGCCCTTCCCACCACCTGAGACCTTTTCAAATTAGCATATTGCAGCGTCTCGGAATATCCAACTTCGTAGCTGACCGATTTGAAGTAAAAAATTCTAGCACATTTCATCTATAATCAAGGGTTCTATATCATTATCTACAGTTTATCCCTACAATCCTACAATGATAACAGTACATTAGACAACTGATTTAAACAGTAGTTTTAAATCATGATCCCATTATATAAGCAATACGGTCATCTGTAATCCACGACAAAGGACCATTATCATCTTAGGTTTAACCTATCACTATCTTGCCAGTAATATCATGTCAACGAAGATGTGATGCAACCGATATTATATCATCTGATTTAAACTGTATTAAAGGGTATGATCAACGTAGATAGCATCAGCAATAACAAAGAAACATTATCCTAGTTTTGTACCAATGGCGATATGGCATGTAATATATTATATTTATGGCACACTAGTACGACAGTTCTCCATGAACCTCATGTCTCAAACACGGTGAGGTGTTGATGTGTGGTGGTGTGAATACGACAATTCAGAAATGGTCAGTTATTGAAACGAAGCTAGATCGAGACCGCCAGGTTTTAGTCCGTATCTATCGAGATTTACTATCAAAACCAAATAAGAACGATTGTCAGTCATTCATTAACTTTGAAGAGACTATCACAGAAGTTGATCATGGAGTGACATCGGAAAACGAATCTTTGACATTATGAGAATCGGACAATATGAAGAAAAGTAATGTGAAATAACGTATCCATGATCTATCTGCTTTACACGACGATTATTGGACTACTGTTATACACAGAGATGAAATGACTACCTGTACCTAGTACTACTCTAAGACATATCACGATATGTTACGGAGGTATATCAAGACAACTAGTGGCTTAAGATACCAAAGTTCGGAAGCGAGCAGTTCTGTTAACGATATGATACGATAAAAAGTATATTCCATAAATGTTATCATCCCTATACGACGATGGTAGATGGCGTTATACACAAAGTTGTGATTCCCTGCACTTAGGCCATCTTGGTGACTTAATTATGATTCAGTAACTAAAGGCAAAAATGTATCGAGAGACCGACATTTCGAATGACCAAAGGAACTGTACTCATTAGGTTTATAAGGCTAGTTGCCAACATTACTCTTAACACGGAATTATCATGAACTTCAGAAGATATAATGGTGATAAAATTCGCGACGTAATTAATCAACCGTCTGCTCTATCTTTCCAGTCCATTCATTGGATACGGCCTTATGGCAAGCTATGTTTCAGAGAGGTCACAGTAGCATCGCCAAAGTACCTGCATTGTTCCTGAAGAGCAAATGAAAATGTCAAGCCAGTGGAAGACCAATTCGCTGGTGCTACAGTGCCACTATTAAATTCATAACAATCTAACAGCACTACTTTCCAAACGCTTAAAAAGACTCGGGTGTTACTTCGCCAGGACAAATTCATATGTCCACAACGTGAGATAAATCATAGAACTGAAGAAACTGAAAATGATCATATTTCTACTTTTCAAAAGCATTATACCAAAATCTGGCCACACGCCCGTCGGCCATAAAAGCTAAACTGGACAAATCATGAATCATGAGATGCAAATCTGATAACGCAAAAAACAGCTCTCAGACATTTGTGGAAAAAAGTTTGAAAATTAAAACCATCGCAACGAGGTGATCACTGACATCGCTGCACTTTAAATTTATGACCTCATTAATCAACTATGCGTGATTTACAGTTCTTACAATGGCACAATAATTTACATTTAATCCATTCGAACGCGAAAAACATCGAATCCATTACTACAAATGGCTACAGATGTTTTTCTGCCGATTTTTCTCGCGTCGTCTAGATTTGCCGCATGCAGCTTTTCGCACACGCCTTATGCCCTCATTTTCAAACGAAGTTAGTCAATACTTTATACGGAAATTATTATAGATTTGGATTTTTTACAAACAAACCTATCGACATGAGGGATATACGGTTCGTAATGAGCGGTCATCATATCATTTAGATGAGGTAAGGAAGCTGATGGAGGTCGTTTATCGATTCTTGAGATCGATCGGTTCCACAGCGAAAGAAACAGGGCAAAACGATACTTTGAACATAACAGATGGCCAAGCAGCCCGATACTGGCAAATAACAGTAGCTGTTCAACGCCCACGTTGACCTCTGAATCAAAATGACACTGAATTGTAGTGATGACACATCAACATATTGCTCAGAGGATATATAACTAGTAACATACATGCAGTCGATTTGATAAGAGAATTCATGC